AAAAACTCCTAATTTCCTTTACATTTGTTGGATAAGGTAAATTAGGAATCACTTGACTTTTAGCAGGATCTACTTCCAAATAATTTTCTGATAGTTGATGACCTAATACAATTCCTCCTGCTACTATAAATTGGCATTTTTTCTCAATTAAGGACTAAATTTGTTTCTTCACAGAGCTTAAGAATTTTAGATAAATGTTTTAAACATGATTTAAATGAAGTTCCAAACACTGAAAAATCATCCATGAATACTTCAATCTCTTTTTCAATTAAATCACAAAAAATTGTCATCATACATCATTGAAATGTAGCAGGGGCATTACTTAAACCAAAGGACATCCTTCTAAAAACAAAAGTACCATAAAGATCGATAAAAGTTGTTTTCTCTTGATCGTCAGGAGGTATTTGTATTTGGTGATAACCAGTATATCCATCCAGAAAATAAAAGTATTTATTTCAAGCTATTCTATCTAGCATTTGATCTAGAAAGAGTAATGGAAAATCATCTTTCCTAGTGGCAAGATTTAATTTTCTATAATCAATGCATATTCGCCACCCTGTAACTTGTCTAGTAGGTATTAATTCATTATGTTCATTCAAATTTACAGTTACTTCTCCTGTATTAGGAACACAATGAATTCCACTGGCTCATGCACTATCTTAAATAGGGTAGATAACTCCAGCATCTAACCACTTCAATCTCCTTTTCACATCTTCTTTCATAATAGGGTTTAATCTCCTTAATGATCTGCCCGAGGTTTATGATTTTTCTTCCATCAGGATCCTATGCATACATATAGAGGGATTGCTCCTCTTTATGTCTGATAGGTTCCATCCAAAAGCTTTCTTAAAACTTTAATTGTTTTTCTTATGAGTTAGCTCTTCTTCTTCCTTCATTAATTTTGAAGAAATTATAACTGATAAAGTAGAGGAATCTCCAAAAAAGGTATATTTTAAATGTTCAGGAAGTAACTTCAACTCCAGTTCTGGAGGTTTTTCAATTGATTGACAAAATGATTTATCTTTGTCTATTGTGTCCAAAATTTCGACATAGTTCGAATTTTCCTTAAAAAGATCTTAACATTGATTTAATTCCTCTTCTTGCTCATGTTCCAAGTCTTTTTCTTCAGATTTTTCTTCATAAGTCATTCTAAAATGGCATTCACTTAGAGATCTTATAACATCCATCCTGTAACATCATTATCTTTACCTTTTGCAAAGTATTTCATTGATTTTGAAATGTTAAAAGTAACAGTTTGATCATTGGCGTGCATTGTTAATTTCCCTTTCTGCACATCTATCATTGCTCTTCCCGTGGCTAGGAAAGGTCT